TCTGCTTACTAAGTTAAATGCAGCCTCCTCAGCATGGCATTCTAGGCCTCATGCTTCCTATTTTTTTGCTAAACCAGTTCTTTCTGAGAGAAATTACCCATGACTGATTTTCTTTGTGTATCTTTGTGCTCTCTGAAGTATTTTTGTTTTGTTTTGTTATGCAGTGAGCATTTATTGCTTATTGGAAAAAAAACAGTAAAGCTTTTTATATTTTGAAGAAAATGTATTCACAAAGATAGTACATAAGGCACTGTTGTTTCTTTGTTAAGCCTTAAGCCTTCCAAAGTCCAAAAATAGTTATTAAATATTACAACCTAAGCATTTAAAAAACTGCTGTCAATGGTTTCACATATCAAAAGCAGTTTAAATAAAATTCCATCATGTCAGGTTTATATTTATTAATACTTTGCTGTTTTGAACTTTATACTTTGTGTTAAGGTAACCACTATTTTAAAAAATTTTATCTGTATAGTACTTACTATATAAGAATTGATATCTAATCCTGAATACAATAATTTTTGGAGGATTTTGTTTCAGTCTCATACAATAACAAAGTGTAATCTTGTTTTTTAAGTTTGCTCTTGAAAATTGTGATAATACTCTTCTCTTTTAGTTGTGATACCTTCAGTGCCCAAAATAGGACCTCAGTGATATGAATAAATGAATGGTAGAAACATGTATGAAGTACTGTTAGAATCTAAGTGGAAAGAGAGCTGTTGTTTCTGCTGGGAGGAGTCAGGAAAGTTCTTTTTTATAGGACTTTGTGTATAAGATAGGTCTTAAGAGTTGCAGGAGAGCTTGCCTGGTAGGGGGACAGCGTTTTGGGAGAGGGAAAACAGCAAGAGCAGAACAATTGAGGTTTTAAAGGGATTAGTTTGTCCTTGGAATCTATAACTACATTGCTGTAGGAATGGTATAGATATGATGAGAAATAATGGCTAGACAGGAGCCTACAGTGTTAGCCATGTTCTAACATTGCTCTAAATCGTAAAGAGTCAGCAAAAACAGACGAAGATGGGATGGTCAGAGTTGTTTTTGGAAGGATTTTTCCAGCATCTATGTGGAGGATGAATTGGGAGTGATAGTTGGGAAAGGGAGTGATTAGAGACAGGAAGACCAGTTAAGAAGTCGCTTCAGTAATCTAGTAGTGAGGCATTATAGGCCTGCAATGGCAGATGCAGTAGAGCTAAAAATGAGGAAATGGACTTTTTAGGATATTGCAGGAATAGAAATGGTTCCAATTCAGTGATTAATCAATTATATGTAGTGAGAGAAATGAAATATTTGATGGTTGAGGTCTCTGGATTGGTTGACAGTTTAAATTTTGTTAATGGAATATCCAATCCAAGAAGAGATGACCTATAAATGTAGTCTTAATTTCAGAAGGGAAGCAGGATTTAGGAATTTAAGAATTTCTGGCTTTTCTGTGATAGTTGAAACTTTGGTAGTTGAAAAGATCATCTTTAGAGAGTGAATAGCTGGAAAAGAAAAGGAGGCAGAAATCTAAGTAACACCAAGATCTATGGAATAGTGAAACCAATGAAGGCGACAAAAGAGTTGCCAAAGCTGAGTCAGGAATGGTAGCCTTACTGTACCCAGTAAAGAATTGCATGAGAGTTAGGAATGCTAATGTCCAGTGTTACAGGAAGTTCATGTAGCATGCACACTGACAAGAGGACAGTGCGCTTGGCAATTAAAAGTTTTTTGGTGACATTAATGAGAAGGGTTTGTTTATTCTTGGTGAGAAGATGTTGGAAGGCAAACGACCATGGTTTAAAATTTGGATGAATAGGAGGAGGTGAGAAAGTGGAGACAGTGAGTATGGTGTACTCTTTTAATAAGTGTGGTAAAGGGGGGAGAGTAGTTTAAAAGAGACACTGGGTTGAAGGAAGAATAGTCTTGAACAACTGAACACTTTTGTGGACAAATGGGAAGAGAAGTAGGAAGGTAGAATTGAAGATATGGGACAAAGAGGGGTCAGTAATGGATGAGGAAAAGTTTTAGAGGCAGCAAGATGAAAGGTTTGCCTTAGAAAAGCATAAGACTAGATTTTTTTGGACACAAAAAGAGGAGTTAGGAATGGGAGGAGTATGGATAAACTAGCTTTCTTTTCACCTGCTAGTATCAGTGGCTTTTCCTCATTAGTGTATGCTGTTTTTCTAGAAGTTCCTTTCTAGACCCATCTGCTTTTTGGAAGCTCCTTACACAGATTTTGAGTCCTTGACAGATTTTCTTCCTTTTTTAAATCATACTTCCTCACTCTTCAGCTGCTTTATATGTTTTCTCAGAATGTTCCATGTTCATCTTAATTGGTTTCTTCCATTCTGGTTAGGAAATCTTCATGTTCTCCAATAAACCAGCATGTAAAGAACCTGTTCTCCAGCTTTAAGTCTTTTCAGACCTAATCCTATCCAAGCACACAGCCTGTGGACGGATTGTCATTGCACGTTATAGAGACAGCCCCTTGCTTCCCTGGTGTGGAAGGCTATGAGTCAGAGTCCTCTTGACAGATGCTTGGTGTGAGGAGAGACTGTTAAATGACTGGCCATTCCCTTCCTGTGTCAGCACACAATATTTGGAGTTATTTGTTCAGTATAAATGGGAAATAATTAGTGCTAGGATTTGGTTGTTGTATTGACAAGTGAAGAACTTGCTATTTTAAAAGCATCCTTTTTAATAGCTACCAATGTGCTAAAACTCATTTCCTCACCGAGAAGCATGTGTTAACTCTAAAATTACATATGTACATATATATATATATATACACACACACATTTATATTTGTGTGTTGTGTGTGTGTATATATATTTTCTCTTAGAAAAAGAAAAGGAACTTTAGAAGTTCTTGGTGTTTTTAAGCCTTTTACTTCATATACAAATTACCTATTTTTAAATACCGCCTTTATTTTCAGTTTAATGACAGAATGGCGTTTTTCTCGAGGAGTACAAGAACAGACCAAAGCTTTCCTTGATGGTTTTAATGAAGTTGTTCCTCTTCAGTGGCTACAGTACTTTGATGAAAAAGAATTAGAGGTTAGGTATTTTTATTATGCTATTGTGGGGAACGTTAATGGGGGGAGGGGCTGTGTTTGTGCTTTTACAGAACAACGGCCACACATTTTTAAATCGTGTAGCTACCTTTCATTTGTCCAGTTGTTTAGACGGCATTAATTCTAGCGTTGGGTGAGAGTTTTGATTACTTTCTCTGATAACATTATGAGCACAAAATCATCAATCAGTGTCACCTATTAGGGGTCATAAAAAGTGATTGGAACATTATTAATAATTCTGAGAATTTTCTGAAATCTCTGTTTAGTAGTGAATTGCTCCAAAGATCAGAGTCTTAAGTCATGAATTCTTAGTGGTCTTAGCTGTATTTTGACTGGTGGAACTATATCAGGAATTGTTTGTGTGTATGTGTATGAGATAAAGTACACATAACATAAAATTTATCATCATAACCATTTGTAAATATTCAGTACGGTAATGTAAAGTATATTCATGTTATTGTGCATCCAATCTCCAGAAATTTTTCATCTTGCAAAACTGAAACTCTATACCCAATGAACAACAGTTCCTCATTTCCCCCAGCTCCTGGCAACTACCATTCTACTTTCTGTTTCTAAGAGTTTGACTACGCTCGATACCATTTATAAGTGAAATCATACAGTATTTGTCTTTTTGTGACTGGGTTATTTCACTTAGCATAATATCCTCAAGGTTTATCTATGCTATAGCATGTATCAGAATTTCCTTCCTTTTTAAGGCTGAATAACATTTCATTGTATATGTATACACTACCACATTTTATTATCCATGCATCCCTTGATGAACCTTTGGGCTCCTTTTTGCTATCATGAATAATGGTGCTGTGAACATTGGTGTACTAATCTCTGTTTGAGATCCTGCTTTCAGTTCTTTTGGATATATACCCAGGAGTGGTACTGCTGGATCATATGGTAATCCTATATTTAATTTTTTGAGGAATTGCCATACTGTTTTCCATAGCAACTGTACCGTTTTATATTTCCATCAGAAGTGTAGAAGGATTCCAATTCCTCCACGTCTTCAACACTTGTTATTTTCTGTTTTTGTTTGTTTTTCATAGTAGCCCCCCAATGAGTGATATCATTGTGATTTTGATTTGTATTTCCCTAATGATGAGTTATCAGGAATTCCTGAAGTCTTATTTTCCCATATAGATTAGAATATAGGCAGGGCATCAAAATAGTCTTTGGCATTTCCTTTTAGCCCCACTTTGGGTGCAATATTTTAACTGCAGCCATCTTAAGCCCACTACTAAGAAACTTAGTTCATTCATGTAGTCAAATGTGCATATGAAAAATAGCATTTAAATTTTTTTTTTTTTTTTTTTTGAGACAGGACCTCTCTTTGTTGCCCAGGTTAGAGTACACTGGCATCATCATAGCTCACTGTTTTACCTCAGACTCCTGGGCTCAAGTGATCCTCTTGCCTCAGCCTCCCAAGTAGCTAGGACTACAGGTGTACACCATCACGCCCGGCTAATTTTTCTATTTTTTGTAGAGACAGTGTCTCACTATGTTGCACAGGTTGCTCTTGAACTCCTTGGCCTCAAGTGATCCTCCCACCTTGCCTTCCCAAATTGCTGGGATTATAGGCATGAACCACCTCATCCAGCCATTTAAAATTCTATACAGTAATGTTCCTGTGCAGGAATTAGTCTTCTGGCAACTCTGGCTGACCTAGGAAGTATGGATGCTAAAGTCTCTTTCAGTGTGAAATGGCATAGTATTTGCATATAACCTACACATATATCTCCTATATACCTTAAATCTTCTCTAGATTACTTACAATACTGCACTGTAAATGCTATGTAAATAGTTATGCTATATTTTAAAAATTTGTGTTATTTTTTATTGTTATATTGTTATTTTTTCCCCAAATATTTTCAGTCCCCCGTTGTTTGAACCTACAGATACAGAACTTGTGGATACTGAGTTGTGATGTTTATAAAAATCAGGACTCTGAACCTAACTGATAGGTAGACTCTCACTAAACATGGTTAACATCTTTCTTGACAGCTTGCTTACAAAAAGTAGCAGAAGCATATTAGAAGAATAGCATGGAAGACATCTTTCTAGAGTAGTATTTATTAATCTTTTTTTAAATCACAGACTTCATTAAGAATCTGAATAAAAACAATCTTGCATCCTCTAAATTCAAACACTGAAAGCATTCCACAACCCCGATTAAGAACATCTATTTTAGAGGCCCACCCAGTGAAAGAGGGACTGAGAGCCCTATATTAGAGCAGACATGAAACCAAAACATTAGATCAAGAAGGAAAAGAAAAGGAGCATACTTTTATATACTGTTGGTAATGTTTATAATGTTCTCACATATCACCCTGTGAAATAGGTAGGCCATATGGTAATTTCGTTTTACATAAAAGGAGACCGAAGCCCTTACTGGTTATTAATTTGCCTTTAGTTGATAGTACAGAGCTGTAAGAAAATACACACTTTTTTTTTTTTTTTTGGTTTTGCTTTGTCTTGATTTTTACCTGTACTCTAGTTTTTTCTTCTACTCCCATTAATTGTCTCTCTTAACCATGGATAATACCACAATAATGGCTATTCATACTATTATTCAAAATAATGACTTCATAATCCTGCCCCCCTTTATAGGTTAAAATTTGTTTAAACTTTAAGAAGATATAACATTCTTTATAAAAATGCATATCACACTAGGAATAGAAGGCAAGTTTTATAGTTTGATAAAAGGCATCAACAGCAACAACAAAAAATTCCATCATTCCAAATGGTAATATTTTAAAGGTTTCCTGAGATTGGGTACAAAGCAAAGATGTCTACTCTCACCACTTCTGTTCAACATTGTACCAAGTGCCCTGGCCAATGCAATAAGACAAAAACAGAAATAAAAAGTATAAGGGTTAGGAAGGGCCAGGCGCAGTGGCTCATGCCTGTAATCTTAGCACTCTGGGAGGCCGAGGCGGGGGGGATTGCTTGAGCTCAGGAGTTCGAGACCAGCCTGAGCAAGAGCGAGACCCCATCTCTACTATAAATAGAAAGAAATTAGCCAAACAACTAAAAAAAGAAAGAAAAAGAAAAGAAAAAATTAGCTGGGGTTAGAAAGAAGTAAAATTGTCTGTATTCACAGATGAAAATCTGGTTGTCAACTTAGAAAATCTGAAGAGACCTACCAAATAACTGGTAAAAATAATAATGATTTTAACAAGGCTGTAGGTACAAGGTTAATAATAAAAAATTAATTGTATTTCTTTGTACTAGCAGCAGACACTTGAAATTGAGATTTTAAAGTTTCATTTACTAAAACATCAAAAAAATGAGCAAATTTAACCAAAGACACATAAGACCTCTATATTATAGAAAAATTAAAGAAGACCCAAATAGATGGAGAGATATACTATGTTATGTATTGAAAGACTAAATATTGTTAAATGTCAGTTCTCTCCAAATTGATTTATAGGTTCAACAATATCCTAGCAAAATTTTTTTTAGAAAATGACAAGCTGATTCTAAAATTAGAAGGAGACCAGGTGCAGTGGCTTACATCTGTAATCCCAGCACTTTGGAAGACCAAGGCAGGAGGAGTGCCTGAGCCCAGGAGTTTGAGACCTGCCTAGGCAACATAGCAAGACCCTATCTCTACAAAAAATAAAAAAATCAGGGGCACAGTGGCATGCACCTATGGTCCTAGCTACTGAGGAGTCTGAGATAGGAGGATTGCTTGGGCCCAGGAGTTTGAGGCTACAGCGAGCTATGATTGTACCACAGCACTGTACCCTGGGCTTCAATGTGAGATCCTGTTTCAAAAAAGAAAAAAAAAAAGGAATCATAAGCATATATGTGAAAGCTGAAAAGAAAACTTGGTGTAGGCAGAAGTTTCTAAGGGAGAACACAAAAAGCAGTAACTATAAAAGAAAAATATGGATAAATTCAACTTTATCAAAACTAAAAACCAAGACATTGAGTAAATGAAAAGACGTCCTGCACACTGGAAGAAACTATTGAGACAAAGATCTTATATCCAGAATATATTTTTTAAAAACCTATCACTCAACAAAAAGACAAAAAACATTTTTAAATGGACAGAGATTCACTTCACTAAAGAAGATACACATATAGCAAGTAAACACATGGAAAGATGCTTTATTAGTCTTTGGAGAAATGCAAATTAAAACTAAATGAAATACCACTTTGGAATAATGTTGGTAGTTTCTTATAATGTTAAATGTACATCTCCCTATGACCTACAAGTTCCACTATTAGATGTTAACCCCAGTGAAATGAAATATATATTCATACAATGAATGTACATAAGTGTTCATCACAACTTTATATATCAAAGCCAAAAATTATAAGTAACCTAAATATCTATCAATAACTGAATGAATAAACAAATTGTTGTATATTCATATAATGGAATACTATTCAGTGATATGAAAGAATAAACTACTGGTACAACAACATGGATGAATCTCAAAAATACTGCATTGAGCAGAAAAAAAAGTGTGCGTATATGTACTAGATATGACAAAAATGGGTATATATGCATATATATAACATTCTCAAAAAGACAAATGTAATCTAAGGTGAAATCATTGATCACCTAAAGCCATATTTGGGGATGATGGTTTTGACTACAAAAAGTGACATAACGGTAATGTTCTGTATTTCACATAAATAGAATATTTTATTCCCAAATGGGCTGAATAAATGAATAACGAGGTTAGTTTATTTTTTTACTTTTTAAAAGCATAGATTTTAAAAAAAGAAGAACCAGAAATTTATGTTTGAAACTAATCAATTTGGATATCCAGTTTGGAATATATGTAAAGGAGATATGCTTTTCAGTACTGCCAATGTTTTTCTTGAAGAATAGTTATTCTAACGGTTGTTTTCAGTTTGAGTTCAATGAACACGGATAAAATACAGTACCAAAGAATTCTTTTTGCTAAATTGCCACAAATTTTGTTGAATTTGCTTACTGTAATCATTATTTGCCCCTACACATAATTATGCCATGTGCATAACTGTGCATTAGAAAATTTCGGTAATATAATTATTTTCTTCACTGTGTCTTTATTGTGGCCTGATTCTGTGCTCACTTCCAGGTTATGTTGTGTGGCATGCAGGAAGTTGACTTGGCAGATTGGCAGAGAAATACTGTTTATCGACATTATACAAGAAACAGCAAGCAAATTATTTGGTTTTGGCAGGTATTTGCTTTTATCTTTGTGAAACAAAGTAGTCAGCGAAAATATTTTCCAATGAAATGGTGGTGGTTTAAAATTAGTGTTTTTTTTTTTTTAATAGAAACTGCTTTGGAATATGATTTTTAGTCTTCCAGTTCTAAACCTGAAGTGCATAATGTGAACACTCGTTCAAAATATTTTTCATTGCTTCTTTGGACTGTCTTTCTAAATGAAGGAATGAATGACAGAATTTTTAAGTAATAGTTTAATGGTAATAGTTGTAGGCATAGCATTTTTTCTAAAGGTATCGAAGTAGTCTGTAAGTTTCACTTAATTCTGGATATAAGAAAGTATACTTGTAATGAGAAAGTGAGTACAGATACTTTAATGCCTCTGAAGATGATAAAATGCTAAGGAATTAGAATAATCTAGGGGATAATGTCCAAGAATGACTTTATTTATTGATTTATTTTTATTTTGTATGTTTTGGCTTAAACTGTGATAGAATGGTCTCTGCAATCCAAGTGTACCATACTGATTTTGAAGCACATTTCAATAGACTTTTGTTTTGTTTTGTGTGTTTATTTAAGAATTTAAAATCTCTAGTCCAGAGATACTCTTCACATAAATATGCTGCTAATTGAGACTCATTTGAGCAACTTGATGACTGAACTTTTGGTTTACTGCTACTTGTTTCACTTTCAGATGAAGAGTAATACTGCGTTTTGTATAACTATAGTAAGATTTTCTGAAAGTTGCTTGTTTTCATAAGGATATGTGTCATGAGTCTGTTGCCTAATATTTTAAAGAATAGTGGATACTTCTAGAAATTTATCTTAAAAGATACTTGAACATGTGTAAAATGGCACATACCAAAGTATTTAATGCAGCATTTTGGTGTACTAACACCAATGAAATGAAGCAACCTAAATGTCCATCAGGAGAAGACTGAGTAAATAAACTATAGTACATCTGTTTTATAATTCTATACCTTGTAGTCTTTCTTTTTCTTTCCTTTTTTAATATGCAAATTAGCAAAAATATTGGAGAATAATATGTTTCAATACAATATTAAGGGGAAAGGAACGTGATATGCAATGTGTATAATATGATGCTATTTGGTTAAAAAGAAAATGTGTGTTCTGTGTAGTAAAGCGTATACTAGTGTGTGAATACACCGTCTCTGAAAAGACAGAGAAAAAGCTGGCAGCAGTTCTAAAGGGGAGCTGGGCAGTTGGAGGCAAAGGTGGGAAAGCTGCTCTTCATGCTGTACCCTACTTACCATCTTCTGAATTCTGTATTGTTACCTATTATAAATTCATAAATAGGAAGGAATAAATCCATTTTCAAGCTTAAAGTAGCTGAATTGCATTATATACAGACAGGTGTCTGTACTCTTCCCTTTTAGGCTCTTTACTAGCTTCGTTACACTTGGTATTTCCTGTCTTTCTGTTTGCACATTTGTGTCTACTTAGCTAAGGAGCTTGTGTTTAGGGTCATATAAATCCAAATGAATACTTGTTCTCTGAATTGGGTTTGTTTTAGGGAAAATGTGAGGTTTATGCCAGACCTGGTAATAAGCTCTATTTCTTGTGTTTTGATGAAATATGTGCAACACAGTTCTTCACTGAAACATTTTTGGTCGTGATTGGCACAGTGTTTTGTCTTATCCTTAGCTGCAGTTTATTACTTATTTTCAAGACACATTTCTATGCTCGGTATTTTACCACATTACCCATTTATGTCTTTCTTAGAAAAGCACTAGTCAGTGAAATAATTTCAGAAGAATATGTACTTTGGTTTTTCAGATACCAGTACGGAAGAACACAAAGCATGGGGAAAATGGGGTTTAGTAAGAGAAAATCCCACAAACTATTCAGAGTGGCAGTAGAGAGATAATCATTTGTTTTCTGTAGCATAAATGGGAGAGGTAGGTGACTCAGGGAAGAATAACAATGGTTTAGAAAGTAACGAGACCTGAGTTCAAATGTTAGTTCTGCCACTTATTAGAAGTTTGAGAAGGACAAGTTATTTTACTAGTGGAGGTTTTCATTTTCTTATATGTACAGTGGGGATGCTCATGATCATACCTGTCTCATAGAATTGTTGTGCAGGATAAATACACGAAAGCATTTGGCAGGAGCCCTTATTAATAGGTGGTAGCTGTTACGTTATAACCAACATCTGCCCTGCTTGTACCTATTAGTGTTGTGACCTTAGACAAGTGACTTAACCTTCCTAATCCTCTCTCATTTATTTCCTGTCTGTAAGATGGCTGTAATAATAATAGTGGCCAACCCATCATGTTATTGTGAGGATTGACTGAAGTAAGATTTATAGCGTACTTAGCATAGTGCTTCGCCTTGATAAATGATAAATCCTATAGCAACATTTTATCCCGTGTCTTTTGAACCAATTTCAGTGTTCAATATTATTTAATTTCTTTAAGTGTCTACTATGTTTTTCATTATTGAAGATAACTTAGCATTTATTTTATATTAAAGTACATTTGATTTTGTTACACAGTTTGTGAAGGAGACAGACAATGAAGTAAGAATGCGACTGTTGCAGTTTGTCACTGGAACCTGTCGTTTACCTCTAGGAGGATTTGCTGAGCTCATGGGTAAATACAGTTTCACTGCATTTTCTCTGTAGATAATTTTATGATAGTAATCGCCTTCAGACATACAATAGACTTGAACCCAAGGACTATTCTTCTGTGCTCTCTGTGGGCCTTCTTCCAGAAGAAAGAAAAAGGAATGGTTAGTATCAAAGGCATCTGTAAGACAAAAATGAAAGTCTCCTCATATAGCCTAGATGGCTATTACTTTGCTCCCTAGGGTGATTGTGAAGGGAGCAAGATTCTGTAGAAATAGTTTTCTTTCCACTGATGTAATTATTCTTGCTGGATCTCTGCAGCAATAAGAAGCAACTTACACTGTGAATTTCTTCTTTTGTTTATTCTATGTCATTCATATGGCTATGTGACATGTTCTGTTACTTAACTAGTTGCCAAAACCAAAAAGTTTAATAGACCACATAAATATTGTCTTATTTTCCTGGTTTAGGAAGTAATGGGCCTCAAAAGTTTTGCATTGAAAAAGTTGGCAAAGACACCTGGTTACCAAGAAGCCATACGTGGTAAGTTCAAGAATCCTAACTAGGAAGGCGAAAGCCAGAGAAAATCATTTTGTTTTTAAAAAACACAATTAAGATTCAGTACAACTGCTTATTCATTAATGTAGTCAGAATTTCAGTTTTGAGAGAAGACTGATTTAAATATACTTTAGAATGAGTTCTTTTTGGTTAATAGAAATACTTGAGAAATGCATCCATCGATTCAACAAATATTTAGATTATCCACTATGTATAAAGTAAGATTTAAGTGCTCCTTGCTTTTTGCAGAGTTTGTGCTCCGTCTGGGGCACAAATGACAACAGATAAACAAAGAACTATTTGCAAATTCTGGAAAGTCCTTCAGAGGAAAATAGAGAGTGCTATAATACAGAACTGAAGGGAACCCACTCTGGATTGGGTGGTCAGGGAGAGTTCTTGGAAAGGATAATGTCTAAGTTGAGTTTGATCAATAGCATGCTGTGGGAAGAAAACAAGGGAAGAGCATTCTTTGAACAGAAATGCTGAAGTAAGGAAAGACCCTGAAGTAAGAGATTATTTTTCAAGGAAACAAAAGATGATTAGTATGATTGGAACTTAGCAAATCAGGGGATTGAGAGATAAAAAATTTGGAAATGCAGGCAGGTGCTAAATTATGTAGAGCCTTATAGGCTAGTATAAGAAATTGGGATTTCATGCTAAGGAAAGTTAGACAGCTTTGAAGAGTTTTAAATAGCAAGAAAAATCATTCTGACAACAGTGTAGAGAAGGAATTGAGTGCAAGGGTGAATGCAGGGAGATTAGGTACAAAACTTTTATATTAATAGTTAACCAGACCAAAGATGATAGCTTAGAAATAGGTGGTGGTTCTTTTAGGAGGTCAAAACTGTTTTCATACGAAGCCATTATTTGCCTTTTTATTGTTTTGACAATTGTACTTACGGTGCAGAAGCAATGTGGGGCAAAACTGCTGGTGCCGTAGCACAAATTAAGGCAGTGGCACCAAACTGCTGTCTCTATATTCTTCAACACCACACACTTGCAGTTTAAAGCAAAAAAAAAGGCAAGTTCATTGAAGTTTGTTTTTTATGAAGTAGTAAAGATTATTAACTTTATTAACTTTTGATGCTTGAGTAACACGTCTTTTGCATACCAGAGAATGGTGGTTTTCTTGAAGGAAAGCTCTTGGGCAGTTGTTTGAGTTGAAGGTTGAACTAGCTTGTTTTTGTTTTTTGTTTTTTTTAATGGAACACTATTTTTACTTCAAAGAATGACTGACACACTATGTTTATTCAGACTTGGGTATCTGGCAGACATTTTCTTGAAAAGTAATGAAGTAAGCCTGACACTTCAAGGAAAACAACTGGCATTTGTTGACAGTGATAAAAGTGGAGGTTTCAGGCAAGAATTAGAACTTTGGAAAATTTGTATATGTCACCATGAACTCGACAGCCTCTCAAAACTTAACTAATGAGATTAGTAGTGTTATTAACAGATGTGATCTGTTTTTTATTATATAATTAAATGTGTCAGCATTTAGAAAATCTTCATAACTTTGTGAACCAGTGTTTCAAATGACCAGTCGATGCATGTTGTTACAAAATCACGCATGGGTAATAGATCCATTCAAAGTGCAAGAGAGACCAGTGGATTTTATGTAACAAAGTACGAAATGTTCTTTGCTATGATTTCAGAACCCATATTGTGCATTATCTTGTCAAACTTAGTGTTAGTATCAAGGAATAATATCCACAAAGATTTGAATACATCTCCATTTTCTAACTCCTTATCTCTGTGGGGCCAGATTTTCATATAGTTAAACCAAAGTAATATAGTGCAACAGATTAAATGTACATACAAGTAGGTGTCAGAATCCAGATGTCTTCTGTTAAGCCAGATATTAAAAAGATTTGCTAAACTATAAAACAAGGCCATTCTTTCCACTCTTTTTTGGGAAGTAGTCATTTTTTTTCATAAAAATGTTTATTTTTATACCAAAATAGATTATTTTTAAAATTTCTATTTTAACTACTAATACAGTAAATATCAATAGATGTAATTCACATAAGGAAAAGCTCTTTGAGGTTCTTCTTTTTTAAGAGTGAAAAGGAGTCCTGCTACCAAGTAAATTTCAAGACCTCTGTAGATACAACAGAGAGTGGGATTGCTGAGGCACGGGAGAGAGTTAGATTTTAAGTTTTGTGAAGGGAAAATAGTTACCAACTGTAGGTTTTTATTTTCTCAAAGCATAAGATGAGGGTCACTGGCTAAGAGTGAAGAAAGGCAAACTTGTGAGGACAAAATTGGGAGAGTTATTAGAAAATAGGCAAATATTTATTAGAAAAATGTGGCTAAGAATGCTGCATAATATTGGATTGCTCACTTGGATTTAGTAGTTCATTTGAAATGACAACAGTCTACGTGAATGCATGATTTTCCTTCTAGGAATTTTCAGTTATTAAGGTACAAGTAACATGAAAGCAGAAAGTTGAATTTATTCAGGATTTGAGTTTAATTAGTTCAAGACAGACATGAGATTAAAAGTATTTGAAAATACTTTTATAAATACAGATAAAATGCAAATACATTATGATATATAATGATGGACCATAATCTCTAAAGTGATTATAATCATGGACGTGGATAAAGAAAGTGAGGACAGAAAGATGCAGAGGACAAGATAGGATGATGAGGAAGTAATGGGTTAACGGGCTGGCATTTTAATTGAAATAAGCTGGAAAGACATATGGTCAAAAAACAGGATTTTTAAATTAGAAATTTCCTTTACTGGTGATGGCAGGGTTCAAGGTATGGTACTGAGGTCAATAACTGAAGAAAGTAGAGGAACAGATCACTAAAGGTGAGATGGGCAAGGAACTGAGAAGCCATAACATTGCACGTCATCCACGTGAATGAGGACGACGTCGATCCAGGTGCCAAAGCTTTCAGTGAAAGGAGCATGACCAAGAGGTCAGCAGATAAAAGCAAAAAGTTCAGAAAGGTTGCACAACTGGACAGTGTGTGGTTCCATAAGGAAAGTTTGATTGTTTGACTACAGGGGTAATGATATGTTTCAGACTAGCTGAATTTCAGTTACAGCAAGAGAAGAGTTGTTAAGACTGTAGAAGACTGCAAATCATGAAATAGAAGTTCAAAAGAATGGATTTGGAAAGGTCTGCAGGGTTGGGAATTTAATTCCGATGGGGGAAATACAGATCAGTATTGAGATAAATGTTTGGATGAAAATAGATAATCCTGAAAGACTTGCATTTTCAGCAGTAACTAAAGTAAGCAGTGATATAATTGGTGATGGAATTAGTTTTGATAATTCTCAGAGAAAGAGAAGGCACAGGGTCTTACTACTGTCGTCTCCAGTAGTGAGGTGGTAGCTGTCGGCTTTTCAGCTTTCAACAGGGTGCTGTTTCCTCAGAAGACATGGAAAATGTATTGCTCAGTCTCCTTCCTTTTTATGGATAAGAAAATGGAAGTAAATTTGATTGGAGGTCAGTTTAATTGGGTGTTAGGGTATGAAGTACACAGAAAGAGAAAGAATTCTCAGAGTTCAGGATAGAAAGAAGCACGAAGTTTATTTAGTCTTTCTCTGAAGAGAAAGAGGGCACAGCACCAAGAAATAGAGGCGCTGGCCCTGAGGCCAAACGACTCTAACTCTTTATTAGGGTAGGCTGAGGAGAGGTAGGGGGAGATTTATGATTGTAGCCCAGTCAGTCGAGGACAGCTGAGAAACTGCTAAGTTTGTCCTTTTCTGTTTCTGTCTCTCACTTAGTAGATTGATAACAGGAATTGGTTTCTTCTTGAAAGCGGGAGACACCTGGTGCCATCTCTCCTTGAAAAGGTTGGGGAAGCTCATGCCCTGTCTGTCCACCCGGGGACCCTTCAAGGCTGTTAAACTCAAAAAAACCTTTTTTCTTTTTATGTATAGGTAGTGAATCTAAAATGGCGGTTGATCTGATTGCTTACCCTTTCTTTTCCCCGTTCTCCTGAAGACTCCTTTTGCTTTTGGAATGTGAATTGACCAGCTCTGGCGAATGTTAATGAGAATTTATGCTTTCCTGTGTTAGCTCAGCACCGTTTAATTGCTAGGTGAACATCTCCGTGGAAGAGATATTCATGCTACTAACCTTGGAGACAGGGTTCATACTGCTTTTAGTGGCTGCCAGTTAGAATTTATTTTTCCTTGATAGCCCGTTAGTAAGACTGTCCTTTCATTGGGTAAGAGACGATGGGGAAGTATATATACAAGGATGTCATGGCAATAGAAATTTAGAAATAATCCGGAGGGGAAAGATGGGGGAGATTTTCGTAGATAGAATGGCAGAGTTTGGCAAAGGCTGTATGTGAAAGATGTAAGAGACTAGAAAGTGACTGGCTGTAGTATGGGACTGTATTGAAAAATAAAAGTTTTTCCTGACCTGGCTCACTGTCAGCCTCTACGTTGAAGTATAGTTTGAAGTAAAGGGGAGGGTAATATATGTCTGCTTAATTGCTATCATTAATGTATTTAACTTCTTTTAAAATACAAAGAGAATAATATGGTCTGAGAACAGCACTGCTTTAATTACCTGCCTCGTTTCAAAGGCTCTTAAGTTTCATGTTTCCTGACTCTTAGCCGGGGCAGGGGCAAGGGCAGATGGGAAGTGGTGGGAGTGGTAGGAGGCACCTGAGTGATCTGAGGAAACTTTCCATATGAGAAAATCAAAGTACAGAAATGTTTTGGCTTGCTCAGAGCTATTTCACTAGTCACTAATAGAGTGGGGACCAAAACCCTGGACACTGAAATCCTAATCCAGCTATTAGGTGCTGTATCTCACAAAATGAATTGTTATTCCACCTTTGTAAATTGAAAAACTAAATACATTGTTATTTTAAACATTTTTCAATATTTTTCTATTTTTCATCAGTTAATCCCTGAGAGATTTTTTGAATCTGGCAGGACTGAAAAAGGGTCATTTTAGAAAAGGTTATACATATGGTGAGGAGGTGATTTGAAAAGACAAAGAAAAGTATATTTTTATTCATTGGCTGTGTCCAACTCAGAATTTAAGTTCCATGAGGATAGGGACTCTAGTTTTTCATCACTGTATCACCAGCTTCTGGAACAATATCTGGTACATAAAAGATTCTCTCAGTAAAAGAGTAATTTATGGATGAGTGAATAAGTGAATGAAAGAAATGGACTCTTAACCCAAGAGAAGTTAGGAGGACTCATGACACATGTAACGAGAATAATAAAGAGGAAATCAATGATTTTTTAAAAAAATTCCAGAGTTACAATTATTATTGTATTGTATTATTGTATTGTATTGTATTATTGCTACAATTATTATTTGTAATTCCATTTTTCTCTGGGAAATGTTGAAATATTTTTAATGTATAGGTCTTAAATTTGAATACATTGCTCTAAGAAATTTAGATATGATCATATACTAATTAATACAGTAATAAATTGTTTAGAATACTCTGGCAACATTTTTATATATGTATTATATATACATCTGTACATGTATTCATTCAGCTTTTCAATGTGCTTTTAAAAATATTGTATTAGAAATCTTTTCAGAGTTTATTTTATTGAAATCATCTGATTTTGTTTTTGTTTTTGTTCAGTTTTAATCGCTTGGATCTACCACCATATAAGAGTTATGAACAACTAAAGGAAAAACTTCTTTTTGCAATAGAAGAGACAGAGGGATTTGGACAAGAATGAATGTGGCTTCTTGTTTTGGAGGAGCTCTTGCATTTAAATACCCCAGCCAAGAAAAATTGCACAGATAGTGTATATAAGCTGTTCATTCTGTACAGTGAATTTTCTGAACTTCTCAAAGTATAAATGTTTTCCGTTCTTCCACAGAAATATGCAAAACAATTCATCCTTTTCTACTTTATTTATTGTTCCCTTGAAATGACTGACCAGGAAAAAGATCATCCTTAAATTTTGAAGCAAGCAAGAGACTTTATTAAAAATAAGAAGTATATATCTATATAAGCATATATGATAGTGGCTCTAGTTTTATAGAGCTCCAAGTGTATTAAACATGACAGCCATTCATTCAAAAAGATCTGGATTTGCTTTACCTTGTTTCTGTTATCCAGGGGAAAAAGTACAAATGCTCTATGTTCTTCTCCCTTATGTAACATCTTCTGGGGGTGTTTAGTTGCATGGCTGTTCAGGAAGGTATTAAGGGCTTAGGCCAAATCTCACTTTGAGTATGTTAAAAAAAAAAATGCTGCTGGCTTTTCTGAAGACAGGTGCTTGAACCTGTCAATTTGTTTTAAATAAATAACAATAGTTGAAAAAATTTTCCCTCTTTGCTACATCAGTAATACAGAATAATGAATGAAACCATAACTTACATGAAAGTCATGTACTAGATCCAATACCATTTAGTTTGTTATAGAGATTGGAAAGATTTCATTGTGCAGCATAGAGGTTTGTTTACATGTTACTTTGGGATGCTAGGTATTTTGTGGAATTAAAAAGAATCAGGTACTTCTTTACTTTTGTTTTTAAATCTGTGATGTTCTTCAAATTTAATTCATAATAAATTGATGCAGTTTGATACTTAGCAACATATAAAAGGGAATGAGAACTTTGCTGCTTTTGTGTTCAGAGTTTTGGTTTTATAAAACCAGATGGATTGAAGAGTTACATAAGCATTTGAACGCTCAAAACAAGTATAAGACTAATGATTTTCTATTGGTGTTTAAATCTTTATTCGTCTCAAATTCGTGACAATTCTATGTATCTGAATTAAATAAGCATATAAAAATCCTTTGGCTCCCCCCCCTTTTTACATAGATCAAGTTATTTTTGTCCTAAGTAACACTTTTTAATTGTTACTTTTTCATTATAAGGCATTTAATGAACTACAAAGATGTATAACAAATTAAAATCTGATGTGAATGATGCTACTTTTAGCAAACTGGGCTTCCTAATTAATACAAAAATTTAAATTCTCATTTGTATCATGCTTTCAATATGCACTGTAAATTTCATTAGCTTACAATTTTCTTTTATGATGATGGACCTGACTTCTTAGAATATGTTACCTGTAAATATTTCACTGCTAAGTGCGTACAGAAAATACTAGTATACAATTTAACTTCCATAAACAGTTTTTGTTTTGCCAAAATTTTATTTTGCCATATATTAATTTAGAGTGTGTTCTGTGCTTTCATTCAAATTTCATAGTAAAGATGAAAGAAAGGCAGTGATCCACTTTGTTCAGTAGACTGCTTTCCCATATCCTAATTACAGACACTCTGGTAATTTTCAAGCCTAAATAATTAAAGAAAAAATTCGAATGTATATGGAAGGGTATGCGATAGAGGCTGGCCAGTCTTCACAAAGGACTGCTTAAAGTACACCGTAAGAGTTAAGTATTAGACATGAAGATGGTACCACTGCTGTATGAATTTTGCTGTGACAGAAGTTACTAAATATCATTCAGTGGAGGTGTGTGAGAATATCATTTAGCAAACTTGACTGAAGAAGGCAGCTTTCAGGCAGGGTTTCAGGGTGCTTGGTCCCCTCTTCCCTTCAAGTAAGAAATTACCATGTAGTAGGTGAGGCTACACAGAGCCTACAAAAAGACCAAACCAGCTTTCTGGGGAACACTAGTTTGGAGAACTCCTCAGGGCCTTAACCTTTCATACCAGTTACAGATATCTAGACCTATAGATATCTAGTCTTGATTCATCTACTCAGTGGCAGTCAGAAAAACTGAAGAAATGTAATCTACATCTCACCTTCTCTCCTCCCTTCCCATCCCTGTTCTGCGCTGGACCAACCACAAAGAAATTAGAAATGCAAGACTCACTGTGCCTGAACACAGTTCATGAGGAAACAGGAGACAGAAGAGGGAGGTTCAGAGACAGGTTCATATTGCTACTTCATTTTGGTGACATCCCACCACCACCACTGGTAAACTGAGCCCAGGAAATGGATCACAGTCCCACCACAGTTCTATCAGATCAGTTTAGTTGTCTGTCTTCCAGGGAAACCTCTAAGCAGTTGGAAGTGAAAAGGGTAACAAAACCTTTTCCCCTGCTGCCTTAATTAACAGCCTAGCACTTCCTACCCTGAAAACTAGATAGGATGGTATGTGTCAACTATATTACCAGGCAACTTTGCTTCTGTTAAAAATGACCTCAGGCCAAATGGAATGGCTTACGTCTGTAATCCCAGCACTTTGGGAAGCCAAAGTGGGATGATCACTTGAGGCCAGGAGTTTGAGACCACCTGGGCAACATAGCAAGTCCTTGTCTCCCCCCCCAAAAAAACCCCAAAATTAGCCGGGCATGGTGGCGCATGCCTGTAGTCCCAGCTACTCAAGAGGCTGAAGCCGGAGGACAATTGAGCCCAGGAGTTTGAGGGTGCAGTGAGCTATGATTGGGACACTGCACTCCAGCTTAGGTGACAGTAAAACCTTGTCTCTAAAAAAATAAAATGAAAATGACCCCTGACTGGTAAGTTGCATCTGGACTGGGAAAACTCCAGACACTCGACAGAAAGCTATAACGTTGGGCTTCCCTGAGTGTGAAACCTCTTGTAACTACATGTGCCTTAGGAGGACCCTGAGCTGTCACCTGGGGAGATGATAGTTCTAGAGAGCTGTGTCTGCTACGCAGACTGCTGTTGTAAGGTCATCTTCTGAAAGGAGGCTCAGCGTTGCCTTGCTGGCCTGCCACAGTTCTGTGTAAATTGGTGCCAAATGTAACCCACTGTAGGCTTGTTAAGTCTGAATGTTTGGTTGAACGTAAGATCTGGTGGATGTTGCAGAAGTAAAACAGAAATCTTTTCCTGTTGAAACATGCAAGTGAGAATAAAAGTTCTCATAATAGTCCCTACTTTTCTTAATCAGTTGAACTTAAAAGCCAAGCTTCAGGTCAACTGGGGATTTGGTCTAAGTCCAAAAGTTGCATCTCCTAAATTCCAAAATTTCTCTCGCCATCTCAACCAAGGAGAATGAAATCAGATGATAATAGTATTTTTTTTAAGTATTTACTGATATTCATGGTAAATCCTTTACATAAATTATTCTCTTAATCCTCAGAACTCTGTGAGATTGGTGTTTTTTGTTTCTGCCTTTGTTTTAATGATGCTTATTTTATAGATGAGGAAAGTGAGTCTGAGAGAAGTCATTTTTACAACATCCACAGCTAGTCCACAGCCCATGATTAAAAATTCAGTCAGGAAAATTTTGCCATCAAGAAGTTAATTGATAGCTTTCAGGTTCTTACAGGATCATGGCCACTTTCCAAATTCAAGTTTCTTCTCACATCTCAAAAGAAGGAAGGACACATCCATAAGGAGAGGTAATCACCCATGTCCTGTGTCTGTTAATATATTTAGAAGACAGAATACTACAAACTTCTGTATACATGTATGCGGGATATTAAGCATCTCAAACGAGCAGAGTCAGTTCTGGAATGCACACAAAAACAGAGTCAGGTGGGGATTGCACAGGAAGGAGAATGGGTCCTAGGGTCCTAGGGTCCTAGGGTTCATTCTCAGAAGTAGTAGGTCTCACCCTGAATGGAGAAATGCCAAGAACCAGTGTGACACCTAGTGAATCAGGCTCTTGAGAAGTCAAATGGAAGAGACTTAGGGCACACAATCAGAATCTTGAGAAGGCATCACATCTTGGAGAAGGAAGTTATCCCTTAGAGAATAAATAAATAAATAAAGGGGGAAAACAGGAAGATAAAAGCTCTGTAAAGGATCCAGCAACCACACTCCTGGGCGTTTATCCCAGAGGGAAAATTTATGTTGCCATAAAAACCTGTATATAATACACATGGCAGCTTTATGTGTAATAGCCAAAAATTTGAGAAAACATAAATACCTGTCAGTGGATGGTTAACAAATTGTCATGTCCATACAAGGAAATACTAGTCAACACTAAAAAGGAACAAACTGTTGATAGAGCTTTGATCACAAAGGACTTTTGAGTGAAAAAGGACAGTCTCAATAGGTCACATACTGTATGATTCCATTTGTATAATCTTGAAATAACAGAATTATAGAGAACAGATTCATGCTTGCCAGTGCTGGGGTGGTGAGGGGAGAGGAGCTGAAGGGTGTGACTACAGAGTGATAGCACTGGGATCTTTGTGATGATGGGTAAGGTCTGGATCTTGATTGTGGTGGAAGTCACAAAAATCTACACATGATTAAATTGCATAGAACTACCCACAGAAGTGAGAGTGTTTCAAAGTGGTAAAATCTCAATGAGGTCTATGGCCTGTACCAGTATCAGTTTCCTAGTTTTGAAATTGTGCTAAGATGTTACCACTGCAGCAAACAGAGAAGGGTATACAGAATATCTCTGTACTACTGTTTGCACCTTCCTGTGAATGTTTAATTATTTCAAAGTAAAAATCTTTTTTTAAAAGTTCTATAAAGTATCAGAAGACAGACCCTCACCTCCATAAAAGCCTTTATTACTGAAAGATATCTCATTTCAAAAAAAACAATTTAGCAGAAGGTATTCTTGAACAAACCAAAACGCCTCACCTCCTCTTATTTGATGTCCTGGAATTGCTGGTAACTCAACACACAAAAAATTACACCCCTAGAAAAAAAAATAAAGTCACTCTAAAGAGAAAATTTAAAATGAGAAAAAACAAAGTAAGATTCTTTAACACAGTATGTTAATATGAATTAAATAAATAAATTGCAGATAATGAAAAAAATCCAAAGTAGAAATTCAAAAACTCAGAACTGGACCAAAAAAACGAAGGTAAGAAATGGCTGACTGAAATCAGGAAAAAAAAAACTGAAGAAAAAGACAAAAACATCTCAGAAATGAAGACATATAAAATATCTAAAGAAGAACAGATAAAACCAAAAGTAAAATAAGGGACATGGAAGATAGAAATGAAAGGAGTCAAGAAAATGAAACAGAAAGGTTAAAAGGAAAATCAGAGAGAAAGTGATAAATATGAAAGACATGCCAGCCAAAAAAGAAAAAAAGAAAGAGAAAAAAAAAATATGAAAGACAAAGGAGACCTAATATAATTAACTGGACTCCCTGAAAATAAAAAGGAACAGTGGTTCTCAAAGTGTGGTCAATTAACCCCATCTGGAATGAGAGACAATATAAGACAATTGGACTGGCCTTTGCAGAAACTCAATGTTGTGAGAAGAAAAAGACAGGGGGTCAAAGACAAGCATCAAGTCAAATAAAATGTATAATTTTTGATTGGATCCAGGTTTTAAAAAGTATAAGACATTTTGAGACATCTGAGGAAATTTGAATATGGCTGGATATTCGATGATGTTAGAGAATTATTTTTAACTTTTCCAGTTGTTACAGTGGATTTGTGTTTGTTCAGGTATATGTCCTATTCAGAGAAGATGCATGCTGACAGATTTAAGGGGTGAAATATTATGATGTCTACAATTAATGTAAAAGGTTTAGAAATAAATTTATATGAATAGACACACATACATAACAGGTTGAACATCCCCAATCCAAAAGTCCAAAACCCAGAACCCAAAACTGAGTTATACCAAAGTGATGGTACAAGTACAAAATTCCAAACCTGATCTCATGTATAGGTCGCAGTCAAAACGCAAAGTTTTTTAGTCTCACCAAGGGAAAAGAGACCCTCCCAGCCATTTACAAAAAGTCATCCAAGCAGAATGCCTTGTCATCCCTACAGGACCCACTTCCTGGTCCCTCAACTTCTTCTCATCTAAAGAAAATAAAATACAGTGTACAGTAACCTTTTAATCAAAACTGCATCACAGATGGAAAATGAAAGCCTGCCACTATTGTTTAACAGCTGACACTGGTATTCAGGTGATCTACAGTGCTGCTTAGTTACCTTCAACACATTATTTTTTCACTGTACTAATGGTATATCATATTTACCATTAGATGTGAATAAATGTAAGAAAACTATTGTTTATTGGTAGCATATAAATTCAATTAGGAATGATGGTGACGCCAAACAACCACAAATCACCTACTTGGGTGGCTGAGGTAGTGACATTCTTGCTTTCTCATGGTTCAGTGTACACAAACTTTGCCTCATGCACAAAATTATTAAAAATATTGTATAAATTTACCTTTAGGCTATGTGCATAAGGTATATATGAAACAAATGAGTTTTGTGTTAGACTTGGGTCCCATTCCCAAGATATCTCCTTATGTATATGCAAATATTCCAAAATCCAAAAAAAATCTGAAATCCAAAATGCTTCTGGTCCCAAGCATTTTGGATAAGGGATACTCAATCTGTACAGCAAAATTGTTGAATCTGAGATAGTTATACAGAGTTCACTACTTTGAATTTTCCTTTTTGTTTGAAAATGTATATGATGAAAAACAGAAACAAACAGCACGTAACCACACAGTTCACTCTGACAGTACAATTCCCAAATCCTTTGAGAAAAATCCATCTACATGTATGTACAGTCTCAGATTCACTTAAGTGGCATTCAAGATACTCCTTTTTATAAAACTTAAGATTTGCAGTGGTGGCACATCAGCCTCAAGTAAGTAGCATAGTTCTGCCTATTTAAAACATCTTAATTTCCCTTTCACCCTTAAGTTTTGTGTTCCTTTCATCCCATTAGGGATGAAAACTTGGACTTTGTCTAGTGATAAATTCAAACCACTATGAGTCCACACCACATTTTAAAAAGGAAACCACTCCATTTTCAGTCTTCTCCTGACTTGAGTTCTCTCCTTATGCAGGTTGCCTCCAAGATACATTATTTAACTGCTTTATACCAAGAACCCTCAACATCCTAACCACCTAACTTTCCCTGAACCTTCTCTGTAAGATCTGAACTTGAATCAATCCAACTTGAAAATCCACTCCCCTCTATGCCCCCTCTTCCACATAGTTTTCTTGGTCTCCTCTCATCCTGATGTGATCAATCCTTAGAAATCTCATACCATTTTGTATTGCTGGTGTCCCAAATGCAAAATAATCTCTCTGCCTGAGCCATAGAGATTTATTTCTACCACTCTTATGGCAATATGACAATTATTTCTTTTACCTTGTTATTTGTGAAGAAACCTAGAATTTTGTATATTTAATCTGTTAAATGGTCACAACATTAAAAGCCGAAAAACGGCCAAAGAACAGTTATGGTTAATATATTATCTTTATAATTCAATGAAAAGGCAGTGTTTATCATGTTTCATGTATTTTCTTCTCTCAAAAGTTCTCAATTCTTGTCACTCAAACTTGTAAGCAACTGAGCAGCTTCTGTGTGTACCTAAAATGGAAAAATACATGTATAAAAAAAACAGTACAGCTTACAGACTAACTTGTGAAACTTAAGTTTATAAAGTAGAATGTGATTTCTAAGAGTGTCCAAAAAACAGGAATAGGACATTGTAAGAATAAAATTTCTTGATAGTGACCAGATGAGACTCTCAGAGGACTCTTCCACGTTAGTATATATCCCTTGATTTTTATGTTTAAGAAATCTTATTTGATCTGCTATCTGTGTCAAACAGGAATAATTCTGTATGGCAGCAAGCAATTCATAACGTCTATTTGGTGATAGTAAACATTTTCTATATAGAAATTAATGTAAATGTCAATGAATTCACATTTGAAATGAACACACTTGTTTTCAGCAGTATCATACATTTAGACAATTATGCTTTCAAAGAAGTTCTTAATTCACCTTTACGTAATAGTGCCTCAATATAAAACTATCTGCCTTACTTTATTGGAGATGTTTTACCTGTTTATCCTCCTCCGTGTGTGCCGGATAGTCCTTGGCTTTCATTAGCCAGAAAGCAGCAAGCTTTTTGTTGTGTAGTTTCAAGTATGTTTTTCCTAAAAGAAGCAAGTTTTTGCTATAGAAGTTTGGATCCACTGTACATAAAAAAGAAAAAAACAAAGTTATCTCAGATGAAATAATGCTGCTTTTATTTTTAAAGATTTGATTTTTTTTGGTCTAAATTCCAGTAATAAATTTGTGTGGTAAGTGACTAGGATAATTGGAATTCTCTTTTGTTCAATATGCATATCTCAAATATTTGTAAATTAATAATTACTATTTATTGAATGTCTGCAATGTGCTAGACACTGTATTACACACATTTCTCATTTTACAAAGTAGGTATCTCCATTTTATAGATGAGAAGCTGAGGCTCCTGACAGAACATAAGCTATGTAAGGTGACTTTCTTTTTAATCTCTTTTGTTCCATATTGTAATGTAATAGAAGAATGAAAGGAATGCTTTACCAGATGTACACACTTTAAAGAGAAACCAAAGAAAAAAGCAACTATCTCTGAAAGATTACACCTGGGCTGACTTGGTGGATGGATAGCATTTTAACAGAAAAAAGTGGAGAACATTCTTGGCTGAGGGAAAAGCATGACCAGAAAGCCTACAAATGAAACTATGGGGAACTATCTCAATAACTTCATTAATTTTTGCCACAGTTCTAACAATCTGAGACCCTCTATATTCAAAGCATACTTTTTCCCAGATACAGTTAATGATTACCCAAAATTGTTTCGCTTCTTTTATTTGAACATATTTGTATGATGCCATGTTGATATACTTAAGTTTCCTTGGGGTTAAGTATATTCATTCATTCATTTATTCATCTATTTACTCCATCATTCAGCAAGTTTGCCAAGCATTATGCTAGACAATGAGGAGGCAATTGTGAGCCAAAAAGACAAAACTCCCTATCTTTCCTAAATTTACAGTCTTAGATGTATAAAAAAATATTTATGCTATGAAGTGATATGGACCATGATGGGAGAGGTAAAAGATACTATGGGCATAGGAGGAGCTTCCAAACTAGATATGAACCATAAAGAAAGGCTACCTAGAGGATGTGACCTCTAAGGTAAGGTCACTGGAGGATGACTGAAGTTACCAAAGATTATCTTAGTTCTATGAAGTCAGGACCATGTTTTTCTCCACACCCCAACTCTTAAGTCTCTAAAGTCCTATTTTAACTTTGTAATTAGACTTTTAAATCCCTTTGAGAAAATTTCATTCCTCGATTCAGATTCATAATATGTGCAGTGTGGTCATGAGATAGTAACAATGGAAGGCAATTATGAGTAAATCAGAATTTGT